ACTCGCCCAATAAAATCCTATAATTAATCACAACTTTAAAATCTATTATTCGCCAATAATTCCCTACGTCGATTCAATCCGGAATCCATTTCATTTATCTTCCCCAGCTTCGACAAATTAAATTGAGGATCAGTAACAACATTCCCCATAAACAAACAAGCAAATAAATCCCTCTGCCTTCGATTCCAGCTAAACCAGCTAATTAACGCGTTACCCTCTCAACGAGCCTGTCAAACAAAGATCCACCCTCCCAAATTGAACACAATTTTCACGTTTCAAGAAGCTGCGAATCGTTACTTTTTATTATATCACAATTTTAATACCAAATCTCCTCGATCAGTATCATCGTTTTAAGATTTACATGAAGAATAAAAAAAAAAAAATTACAAAAAAACAAGAAATCAGAAGAAAATAAGAAAGGGGGAAAGAAATTAGACAATGGAAAAACACTAAAAATACTAAAAAGGAAAGTTAGTACACAAATAAATGTTCAAAAATAAAAATTTGAATTTGAAAGTTAAAAAAAAAAAAATAAAACTTGAAATAATATATAAAAAAATAGAAAAAAGGGAAAAAGGTTTGAAAACCGCAAACCTTTTTGATCGATATCTTCAATCTGTATATTTACTTCTAAAATTAAAGAATAGATAGAAAGAAATAAAAAAAAGAAAAAAAAAAGGGATGACAGGGAGAGAATTTGGAAAATGAAATTGGCCTCTTACCACCGCCGCCGCCGCCGCTCCATCCACTACCACCGCCGTTCCATCCACCTCCACCGCCGTTCCATCCTCCCTTCCATCCGCCTCCGCCGCCACTTGGCCATCCACCGCCTCCTCCGCTCAGGGTAATCACTTTGATGATTTTTCCACCGCCACCACCGCCGCCGCCGCCACCGCCGTACTTCCAGCCACCGCCGCCACCGGACCAGCCGCCGCCTCCGCCACCACCGGACCAGCCACCACCGCCACCTCCACTGGACCAACCACTGCTTATGTAACCGGCTGCAAGGCGAAACAAGAGTGTTCGTCGATTTTCTTGGCTCGTTAATGTAAACTGCCACGCTTGCAGCTTGCTTCGTATTTATTATACTTGCTTCCCCGATACGTGAGGTGAGCTGAGCGAAATTACCACCCACGATCACCGTAAAACGTCTTTGAAGATATGGTGCGAATTTTACGACAAAAATTGTTGTATACTTTGTAACAATTTTTACAACCCTGAATGACAGATTATTTCGTGGTTTAAAATTTGTAGAATGATTACTATTATTATTCATGTAATTGGTATGAAAAATATAAGAATTTCTAAATTTTTGCAAGTTAAATTTACCGTTTTGTATGCAAGGTTACAATTGCGGTCGACCCTCCATCTACCTGTATTCAGTGTTCGAATCAATTACACGTTCGAATCCTTGCGCGCGCACGTTACACGGGTAATTTGATTCGCACAAGTCGATTAACGAACGAAGCGATGCGATCATAGATATCGAGACAGACAGCGCTCGTTTTTCTCCCTTGCTCGATTAATGTCTCCTCCGGAGGAGGGTAAGAAGCCTCGCTCCAATCGCGATACGTTTTTCATCGTATGATCGACCGTCCCGTCCAATCGAAAACACCGTTTACTCCGTATACGATATATACTTGCGGTTTCTTAGCGTCCCTAGATACCCGTGCACTGTCGGATATTCGTTAACCCTCACGTTCACTGGTTAGCAAGTACTCACCGTAGGCAGTGGCTATGAGCGCCAAGAGGATTGTAATCGCGAACACCTGTAACGAAAAGAACGCGTGAATCGTGTTCGTATCGGAAGAACGGACTAATAACGACAAAGAGAGTGGTAGAGAAAGATAGAGAAAGAGAGGAAGCACCGTACGAATCCTAAACGCACACGCACGCCTCTTACACGTACCTTCATGTTGAGGTGTTTGATGCTCATCGTCGGGACCTGTGCCTCTTTTATAGCTCTTGCCTTTCTTCGCTGATCCCCGCCCTTCCGTCTCCCGCCTTGGTTGGCCAGTTGGTCTTCTGCTGTTCGTAACACCTAACTTTCGTGCCACCACCATTGCTACCGATATCCCCCACCAGGGGCGCTAGTGTGCACCTCGAACGCCCCTCTTCTCGGGGTCTCTCTCCTTGTAACGATGTAACCGACATAACGATCCGCGTGTCTGTTAATCTGAACGGGCGATCGTGAATCTTTTGAAGAGACCGCCAGACGTACTAGGTTACAGGGTCGTGCGATCCTTTCTGTTTACTCCTTCGTTCTGCGTTTCGTCTATGCGTTTGTTAGGTGTGTGTATGTATGTACGTTGTCAAAATCGAGGATCGTGAGGAAATTCACCGACCTCGTTGCCGGAGGAAACGCGATGATTCATTAGCGAGATAATCTCCGATGCTTATGGAATGTTTACCCACTAGAGATGCTCGACAGGGATTCTTCTCCTTGTTCTTCGTCTTCGCCAAACGAGGTCGACATCGCGATGTGTATATGAATGTTTGTATATACGCCTTTGATTTTTCACGGTCTACGGAGGTTAGAATATTCGCCGGGGAGAAGTAGAAAAAATTGAGGCAGCGGAATCTATAGAATATCTCGCAATTTCGTGGAAAATGTGTCGGCCTGAGAATTAGGGGACCAAGTTCGGAAGAGAAACCACTGATTGTTGCATGTTTCCTTTTCGTAACGAATTGTTGCCTCTCAGTTCGGTGTTTTTCTTTTTCTTTTCTTTATGAATTTCTTTGGGAAGACGAGATTCCATGTTTTGGAGAATATAAAAATTCGTATAATTTTTCGTTCCATTTATTATTCGAGGAAGAAAAATTAACTGGTTCCATCGTATTTTATTCTCGAATGGGAGTCAATAATTTTTTTGCTTTTAAATATTATCTGACATTTGAGTTAAGAATTTGTTGTGTTTTTGTTTGTGGTAGGGTAAAGGAGGAGTGCAAGTCGTATTCAGTAATTTTTAAATCAGCGATAAAAATAGTTTCTGGTTAAGAAGCAGTTCGGTCGGCGGACAAATATGACACTGTATTCTTAGAAAGTTTAAATAGACGTCGTAAAGTTTGCAAATGTTACTGTTTTGTAAATGAGAAACAGTTCATCGTTGTAAATTGCGAATCGTTTGTTTACGAAACAGCTTGGAACTTATTCCATAACCTATATATTGTAGCGGGATAAATGAATATACTTGAAGAAAATGCACTGAAGATAATTTGATAGCTGCTGAAATGATCTTTTGTTATGAAATATACTTTGGAATGAAACGATTATATCTTAAACGTAGATTTGTTAATTATAGTAATCTATAATGTACTTCAGAATATTTCATACTGTCATTTAAGGAGTTATACAAATGAAAAAAGAAAATCAATTCTTTTTTTATAATATTGTATAATATAGCTTATTATACTTTTTATATTATACTATATTATGTACATACATATAACTATGATATTCCTAGAAAATATTAAATAAAAATGTATTAAATTAATTAATGTATTAGAATGTACTAAATAAAAATGTTATTAAAAGCCTGTTATAATTGATAAAAGTTTTGGACAATTATTCTCTGTAGAGTTACACCAACCAGAATCAGCTTTCACGTTTTTCCTCGTTTGCCTTCATATATATTACCTGAAAAAGTTTATATGTCAGAAAGATTATTCTTACCTTGTAAAAAAGAAAGAAAATTACGTACATAATATTTTTTACCCTTCTCCACCCCTCAGACATATATACATAATCCCTTGAGACCACTAAAGCAATAAGAAAAGCATGAAACTTTCATTTTGCCAATTACAAACGTTTCGTCCTTGAATCCCAGCCAATTCCTCCCATCCGCCCGAGTACCCATCATCATTTTCCCATACTCCGTTCCAAACTCATCTACATTTTAACCCATTACGCAAACCACACTTTTACCAGACCGGCGAAACGCAACAGCCAGCAGCGTCATTGTTACGAGATTTAGCCTGGCTGCTTAATTGAGCAAATGCACCACAGCATCGTGATCATGCGAATCTTGAGACACTGATACTGGATCACAACAGTCTATTATTCTTCCAGTCCTATAAGTTGAAACAATCTAGCTGTAGATCTGACCAATTTCAATTGCTTCCTGTGCAATTTGTAATTATTTTTTTATTTTTTTTTTTGCATATTTAAATTATATACTATTGCGTTGAAATAACATTTACAAAACGTTGACTAACCTATATTGTTCATGGATGATGTTTGACTCGTTGAAGAGACAAATTAAACTGATGTATTTTTTACTTAATTGTTAATTTATAGATAAAGTGATATTAATCTCCTTTAGAACAGTTAATGCAATAAATTGTATTACATTGTATTTGCATATAATGTAATATCAACACACTTCAATGTATAATCAATTTTGCAATTCATTTGTATTTATTAGTCCTTAAATTCTTGTTCAAAGATACTAAATGATGATTTAATCTAAAAATATGACATATGTATATTTTCAACATTTTTAGCAGTTTAGAAGAAGTATGAGGAAATTAAAGTTATTTTTATTCATTAATCTTAACTTTGAAAGTTTTTTGATATCCTGGTTGGTTATTAATCGTAA